ACAAGTACTTAAGAATATCAATGTTGACATATATATCAACCTCCAAATCTACCAAATCATGCACAAAGTATAAAATCAAATGCTTGTAGAGCACAATAAGTCATTAAAGATTACAACTATTGACTAAGACTTTTATAAAATAAAATCATCATTAGCCTATTCTTATAGTAAGTAGATTACATACAATAATATATTACCTATACTTCTTGCAATATATTCTATGTTGGGATTAAAAACTTACTAATTTAAATTGATAGAAAGAATATATATAGAAATGTAGTAACTTGCTCATAGATTTGAACTGCAATATTTAATATCAAAGCTTTGTAATTTTTAAAAAAAATAATAGATCTATTTTGAAATATATAATATTTTTTGCCTTGCTTCAAGTCTTATCTAATATAAACTATAATAACATCTTATATAAGATGCTTGGCCTACGTTCTAAGCTTAAATATAATACTAATTTCAATTGATGAACATAATAAATATGCTTTATGATATTATAAATTTTCTTAAATATGTGTCATCTTATTGAACAACTCAAATAAACCACAATTGTGCTTCTTTTGTAACATGCCAACATACTACAATTACTATCAATATACATCAATCATTCATAACTATCGTCAATTTTTTTCCACTTCTTTAATAATTATTATAAGTATTGTAAGACAAAATCAATCAACCAAAAAAATTACTTCTATACTAGTAACTAAATCAGTGAAAAAATAAATAGAACAAAATATGTTTACAATTTATTGAAGCAAAGAAGAAGATGCATCTCTTAAGGTTGCTGTAAATCCTTTAAAGTTCATATTTACCTTTGTCACTATACACCAATTCTAATCATCACAATAATAACCAATATTTTTATTTCTTTAATATAATTCTAGCCATATAACAACCATTCAAATACACCTATGGTTGATATTATATTTAATTTTGGAATCAATAATGATAATCAAAATATCATTATTATTAATTAAATTTTAATGATATATTTTTAATAATAAAAATTAAAAATTCCAATCTATCTTTCAATAAATTCACAATCAAAGTTAAAAACATACAAAAAACTATAAAATTAAAGAAAATAAAAACACATTCTATTATAAAATAGAAAACATAAGATATTTCAATAACTCACTAAAACCACTATGATAAACACTTTTAGTCTTAAGCTCTTAGCAATGGTCTTTTGAAATATTTTTTAGATGATCTATATTTATAACATCAAATAAATAAACAAAGAATTTTTAATAGATCAAATATTCTTTTAACATATAAACATTCTATAAAAATTCTTATATATTAATTTTGCAGCAATGTGCATCAAAATTGATGACATCTACAATGCCATGAGATTTAGTGAATCATATCAAAGATTAATTAAATATTAGTTAATGAATATGAAGATATAATCATATAATATCTAATAACATAATATATCTTTTAGAAGTTTTTAAAGCTATCATAGATCATACAAGCAAATGTAATAATATACAAATCTACACTTATTTTTATTAAAGTCTACAACTTACATTTTGTAACATAAGATCTATATGCATATACAATACACCAATGATAAAAATCAAAACACATCCAAAGCACTTGAAAATTGAAAGAATTAACTTAAATACAAAAAAAATACTCCAATGGCATACAAATATATACAAACATAAATATGGATTATTTTCAAGGATAAGAACTCAAAGAAGATACATGAACAAGTAAAAAATGAAACAAAGAGAGATGACAAACTAGAAATAAGAAAGTAAGTATATTTAATAAGAAACTAGAATGGCTATTGCCAAAGGTTGAATACTATCAAAAGAATTATATTGTCTGGCTGTCCTTTTATTAAATTCTAAATTCTTATACATGATGTGTTCTTTGGTATCTCCTCCCTGTTTTCACGAAGATTCCTGAAGCTCGAAGCATCACTTCAAAGTCTAATTTATACTCTGTGTATTGTGGACACTCCTTTTTGAGATGAGATATAACAACCAATAAATTTGATGCACTTATTGCTATAAATAACACATCATCTTTTAAAGAGAATAAAGTAATGTGATTTTCAAAAGTGGTATTCTTAAAAGAGTAAATGCCATCTTATTGTCCTTGGTTGTTAGTATAAAGGTAAAGAGCGATTGTTGTCTTCACTTATCTTTTGTTTTTACAATATATATATATATATGTATATATGTATATATTTTCTGAGTATAACATGTAAGAAAAATATAGTTTTTTGAAAAAAAATCTGAATATAACTTAAATTCGGTATTAAAAACTTCAATTGAAACAACGATACAATTTCATTCGTAATTTATTCTAAAATTCAGAATCAGTTTTATAATTCAGATTCTGACTTTATTTTTTTATTTTGACCAGAATGAAAAATAAAAGTACTATAATAACTCTGAATATAAATTTTCTTGCATGGTTAATATTTCTTACAATAGAAATTTAGCACATGTATACATGTGGAAGTTGGTAGAATTTAAGTTTGGATTGAACCACCAAATCAATGAATATACTAAAAAAATAAGACAGTAATCAAACAAAAGAAGAAATGGAAAGAGATGAATCGATCCGTAAGTGTAATGACAAGCCAGTTCTTACGAAGTAAAGTGAAATGCATTACAATTAATGATCCGTTTCATAATTTCATATACCAAGGATATTCTGCAGCCCTGCAGTAAGAGCAGGCTTTTGGGGTTCAAGAGCTAGTCAAGGCACATGAGTCAGGGACATTGGATTCTAAATTTTGATCCCACGATGCAGAAAAAATTAACACATTCTTATAATTTCATGGTACTTCTGGAGGTTCGGTTCTTGCAGAGAGAAAAGAGAGTTGGTGCCACATTTGTTTGATTAAAAATACAATACTTTAAACTCATTTTGAATTTCCTGCCTCCAGTTCATCAATGCAAGGTGTTGGGATCTTATCCAACAAGGAGTTGAGAGCTGATGAATTGCTGCTTTGCGTGGTCATCGGTGGAGAATTCGGGCTCTGACCACTTTCTCATTTTAATCTCCAACAGAACATCATATCATCGATTCACCAATGCTACTCGTGAGGTAACCTACGTCATCAAACGCAAGATTCGCTGCTACACAGAACCGAATATCATAGAGATTTTGAAGAGCAATGCAACCTGATTAACACACGATCCTGATATAGTATGCATCAGATGCTAGCAACCATCCTCCCCCCGATCACAGAGCCACACTGCAGCAGGTTTGAACCACAATTGACTAAACCACCTCTGGTTCAGCTCGGAAAAAACAGCCCGAAGAAATGAAACGACAGAACTGCACGAGAGTCCTTCCGCAGCATCAGCTTGTCAGGTGAAAGGCAAAAATGTGCACCTGTGGATAGAGTCAGCTGAACGAAAGGGCATAGCTCTGCAGCAGGTTCATCTCCAGGCTTTATGACGACGTCTGCTAACTGAGAGGTAAACTTCTATTGCTACTTCAGAAAATAGTTGGCTACGTCTTCTAATATTCTTCAGTCAACAAAACGGTGATGTCGAAGTGGGTCTCGACCAGGTCAATGACAGTTGGGTGGTTTAGGGGCTGCGAGAAATTATCGACAGCACGTCCGGATTCCTTCTTCACCTTTCTTCGGCGGAAGATCCTTTTGGGCTTTAAAAGTTTCTGGGCTTTAAATGTTCGGCTTTTGGAAGACAATGCGAGTCTGTGTATTATTAGAAAGAGGATGGTAATGAATCACAAAGCTCCCGCTGACACCTTTTTGCAATATTACAAACACCGACGCATCGAAGACGACGGGCTCATTGGGAGACACGATGAATCGGGCTGTTTGGGGTCCCAATTTGCGGGATGGATGATCGGTTCATAGAGTAGGGCCGGGCCATAACTCTAACCATAACTCTAAACTCAAAATGTACACCTTTTCTAAATGAAAATGATGAAGTAGACATTTTGGTGTTCAGCTAAAAATTAATGTAAAAGTGAAGAATTATCATAGTTGAGATTTATTATTATTATTATTATTATTATTTTGTATATTTGCATTTATTTGAACAGGCTTTTTAAAATAAGGTCCTTAAAATTAAAAACTAAAATAGCCAAAATAGTTTTATTTTTATTTTTATTTTTTCCTGTTAATTTTAAGCAGAAAGAGGATTTGAAAACTTTCTCCCAAATCAAGCACTCAAGGATTTAGTAGCCAAGTTGATTATTATTGTCTTATAGCCTGGAAATTCAATTTAAAAAATGGATTAAGATTAAATGTCCTTGCATACGCACAATAAAACTCTTAATTATATTAAATGTTTTAGAGTAATTTTATTGGGAAAGATTTGTATGCAATGGCTTATTGCATTAATTATTATTTATTAATTGGTTTTTATTAAATTTAACAAAAGTTCATAATAAATTATAATTTTTACTTATTCACTTTTATTGTAACTTTATCCTTAAACTTTTTCTCTTATTCACTTATTTTCATATTTTATTTAGAGAAAAAAAAATTATAACAAAAATCAAATTTTAAGTCTTCTATTCTTTTTTGGTCAAAATTAAACGGACCCTCTTAGAATTGCACTGAAATATAAACAACTATCAATAATGTTTTATTCAATGGTCCTGAGTTCTTGTGTTTTTGTCTTAACTTTGGATTCTACTAAAATAAACTGCTCTATTGCCAGGATTTGCTTCTAAGAAAAGTGAAATTTTGAAAAAATCATAAAAAGACAAGAAGATAAGAAGAAGAAAGAAGCTTTGACTTGCCTTGCTTTAGAAGAAATAAGCACCCTAAACTTTCCAAAATAGATTCAAAATTCAATTAGATGCAATCTCTAACAAATTCATAGTTTTTCAAGATACTTCAATCATAGTTGAATTTTCTTCCAGATACTTTAAATTAAAATCAATTTGATACATTGACAATAAGAAGAAAAAAACGTGTTGAATCATATTTTTTGCACTCCCAGTCAAATGCTCAAGGACACAACTTCCCATATGTTGTATACTTCAAAAGGAGTTTGTGCATCATCTGGCTTCGCAAATACACACCCAATCCACAGAATTTAAATTACTGCAAAAAATTTAAAAAGTTGATAACAAGATTACTTCACGCGATTTAGCAACATTCTAAGTGCTCTTGTCATGGCTTAAAAGTAAACCATACCAATCACATGCAACTATGTGATTACTTAGCCACTGACGAACCCTCCTGAGACTTTTCATTGCGATGTCAGCACCTTCAACACCCACATGGTAACAACATAACAGAATCGCCCTGAGCACTATGGGTTGATGAGACAATCCACAGGACTAGCAGAACATCTACACCTTCCAAGCATGCAACTAGGGAGGGGATTGTTGTTCTCACGGCGCCCATGCAAACTGCTACATTGTCGCTATGAGAATCCACATTTGAAGAATGGTATCACATGCGTATGAATCACGACAGAAATCACCAATTGTTTGGCCTAAAGTACAAGGGGAAGGCGCCCTGTTGCCGTCTCCGATTCTTCTTTGCCCTGAATGGAGAGTTAGATCTGGAGGTATGAAAGTTTCTATTCTCTGGGGTAACGAGGTTCAGCAAGTCTGTACTAGATATACAAAAGTTGTGTACATTTGACTTATGGCAGCTCCACAAAGTAGAGACAGAGAGTGTGTGCAAGTGCGGGAGTGATCACCATCTTGAGGTCAGGCGATGCTGTGCCGAAGCTGCTGCTTGATTGCCATTCTTTGCTCTGCCGTCACTTCAGGACTGATAGAAGTGCGGGAGGATTCGGAGCTCGAGAATCCCCTGCTGGAAAATAGTCTGTTGAAGAGCTTATCGGGCTTGAACGTCGATAATACACCTTTTGCTCTCATGTGCCTGCTGGTGGCATCATGTTGCATTATGCTGCGTTCCTTCTCCGCTTCCGCGATGCGCATCTTGATACTGGCAAGATCGCCTTTCAAGGCAGTGAAATCCTCGTGCACAGTTTCCCAGTTTTCCATACCTGCGGCGGGTTCCATGTGATGGCCATTGTTGGCTCCAGGTAAACGGATTTCATCGCCATACTCTAGCTGCTGGATGCTCCCGGGCAAGTCACCAAGGATGAGTCCTCCGCTCACAGCAGTTCTCACTCGCTCGAAGAACAAAACCTACCAATCAACACATCACCAAATTCTGTGGGCACATCGAAATCTGCCATGTGAAGCTGCAAAGAGTAGTATCTATGTGGAAAATTGAAACACAGTGCATTTTACTTTCATGTTCAAAAAAGCTGCTTACATGCTTACACGAAATGAACTTGTGATGCATGAGTGTCTTTCCTTAACTAGAATTAATTCCACGAAGTTGGGGCGACTGACCTGAACCACAACTCGCAAAGGGAGACGATCATTCTGAGCGGCGTGCATGCACGCATCCATGGATAGCTTCTTACAATCCATCACGCTGCAAATCTTTTTCCGTTCACTCTTTGTAAGCATTGGATGTTCCTGTAATTCAAAATTGTTCCCAACTCAATGTCAGATAATCTACAACCCCCCTACAGCTTTCGAGAATATCACAACCTTGCTATGATAATTCAAAAAAGAGAAAAATGCATTAAAATTTCCAGCGGGTTAAAGTAGTTTCATAAAGCGATAAGATTCAAATTTAGAGTTCGAAAACCACAGGCTGGTGTACAAAAAACCTTGAGGTATATGTCGATGGCGCGGTACAAGCCATCATGGACAGGACGTGCAAAATCGGGAAGAGACTCTGCAAGCTGGATAAATTTTGCGAGGGACATGTTCGCATCCCCCGCCTTCTCCGCAAGATATTGGTCGACCAGCTTGGCTACTTGGAGCTGAGAAGCGTGCGTGGCAGCTGTCATCAGGTGATGACCTCCACTGGAAATATCACCATACATGTCAGTCAAGTGAGCGGTCTGGTTTGTTTGAAGATCCAGACGGAACTGCGTCATGTAATGCTCCACAAAGCTTATCATTAAATCAACGTCACACACAGTGTAGTCACTTGAGTACGATTCAGAGGGGATGATCAGATCCTGCAGAGATACTTCGTCTAACTGCAGACCAACGCGTCTCGCGAGCTCGGTTTTTATGGACTGCGTCGTGTCAAGGACGGTGGATGCCCTGAGCAACCTCAGCAAGAAGCTACAAGTGGAGGTGCCTCTCTCCGACGGTAGGAGGGTAACAATAGTCTCCAGCACATGCTCGTCCCTCGTTGCTATGTCCGTAAACTTGCAAGACGACTTCCCGCAAGTAATTAGAGAATTATTTCCCGTGGGGAACTCTTGGAGCATATCTGGTAAGCACTTGAGTGAGTACACTCTGATGGACTGAGCTACCAACTCTGGTGGTGCACCTTTCGCCTTGATGGCGAGGATCACTCTTCTGTACAGATCAATGTCCAAATCACTTATGTCTTCTAGCCACCAGTCCTTAGGCGCAGGTGCCAACATCCTGCGACTACTCCATGACGTTGAACTGCTGCGCTCGATTCCAGGCAAAACTTGATGATTGAGGGATGAAGTGTGTGGTCTCGGATATGAGAAGGACCAATTTACTTCGGCAGGGTCCACACAAACCTTAGACGAGATTGATTCAATACATCGATTGATGATCTGTCACAATTCATGAGCTTTCATTTTAAATTTCATGTCATAGGTGAAACGGGAAGAAAGTTTAGTTTGCATACAACGCTATCAAATTAGCTTGTTTAGGTGGGATGTGGGAAAACCTTGAGATCTTCGGACCACGGCAGATGGGCTTTACTGCTGCGAAGGCAAATGATGGAATCCTTCCATCCCCGGAGTATGGAAGAGTTCAAAAACACTTCAAGCTTGTAAATAAGGTTGCTCTTCTCAGTTGCTTCAGTCATCTGAAGAAACTCAGCGCCACATCTTACTCCGCACACGTTATGTGGGCTCAAGGTTATGGTAATGCCGTAACAGTACTTGGCACACATCTCGAAGCAGCTGACTCCTCCAGGGAAGTCGAGAATATAAACCTCTCCACTTCGCGATTCAACGGCAGCTGCAATGAGTTTGTTGAGGCGTCCCCACTTCGCCAACAGAGGAAACTTCCAACAGCCAACAGGAGGCATTCCTCACCATGTCAGGTGGAATCAGTAGAAGAGCACAGATCGTGTTCTAATCTAGCGTACTTTTTATACTTTCAAAGAGACCATGCGAACTAAATCCTGGGAAAAGAAGATGACTCCTATGAATCAAGGAATACAATGAAAGGGCATCCCTTAGTTGAGGAGGAGCTATATTTTAGCGAGAATTTATGAAGATGCATTTCACAACAGCAGTGCCTGTTCTACTCAATGCAAGGAATTAACTATGCTACTGGAATTGTACGGGTCACCACTTGAGCGCGCGCAATACCTCAAGCATTTCCTAGCTAACATGCATGATAAAAAGTTGAGAGGTCCGAATCAGATGCGTCTGAAATATAGTAGAAAACTACCTTGTGGAGGTGGAATTTGTGGCCATCGACATCGAAGGTTATGTCACTCGACAGTTCTGAGGCAACAAAACTGCATTACGATGACACTCCACTTTTAATTTCTTTCTCCAAATCAACTATCAAGATAAAACTCAATCACTTCTTGTACCGAACCTTCCAACGTTGCGCTAACTATCCTACATGAACTTAATTTGGATGTCTTACTTACGTAGAATCTTCGCGAGCAGTGAAGATGTCCGGCTTCGATCCCAATTTCATAAACTTCATTGTGGCAAGCTGTACCTTTAAACCTGCCCTAATTTAAAATGCATTTTTAATTCTAGATCACTGATGCTGAAACTAAAGATTTACCTACTAGGTGGCTAGTTCCACCCAAGGCCGTCAGCAATAAAGTCCTGGGCTTGTACCCTTTCCTCGAGGGAAGTGAAAGAGAATATGTACGAAGTCTGGCGAATGTAAAGCTTGCCGGTCTATGAATCAATTCAAAGCAGGCAGAATCCGTTAGAAACCCCTGCCTTTACAGCAAACACCGTCCCTACGAAGCCTGCGGAACAACGGCCTCTTAACTCACACGATTCATCGAATTTCTCATCTTTGGAATCCGTTCAGAACCATTTCCTAGCAGGATAAACGATAAACTTCCCATGAAACTATGTAAGATGGCCATGTTGGAGGTGGTGGAAAGTACTGATGGTGGGAAAAAATTAGAGGACCGTTTCTTATTACGAGACTCATCTACAGTGCAACGGAGAAAGAGGAAAGGAGTTCGAAATGGACGTGAAGAGACCGAAGCATCAACTAAACTCAGGAACCTGAGCCAATTAAAAAACCTAATATGCCCCATAAATTCGATGCTTGCAGCGGGCCACCATCATTCTCTCATGGTTCTTCCGCGAGGTTCCCACAGCTTCATTAGTACTCCGCAGTGATGAGGAAACCTGCACAATAGCCAGCACATTAACCTGAGTAAACGCTTCGAAACACTAATGCTAAGTCACCTGGGCCAGAACTCTAATCGATGTATGCAGGAAAAAGCGTTCAACTCCTTCCAGCGACAAACACAGAGAAGCCTAGCTTGGCTCGGCTGTACAATTAATCTCCTCTACCTCGAAGGAAATACAAAGATTCATACTCTATGCCACATTCTCCACCCAATAGGAAGAATGCTAGAAATCTGAAAAATCAGATTTTTTATGGAGTTCACTACGGCACTTTTCTCAATAAAAGTTTTCTAGAAATTGATTTACGAAAGACACAAGGACAGAAAGATCGCATTTTTCATGTAAATTTTCAGTCAAAGACAGAATGTACTCACCCGGGCATGTTGTTGCTATCAAAGAGTCATTCTCAATCTTTAATTCAATGGCTCTACGGTGCAACAAGACGCCAAGGAAAACCTTGAATTAACGCTGGAACTGATCCAGATGCAGCGACCATGTGATTACCTTCAATAAATTCTGCGCATGACTAAAGGCACTGGGGTTGAGAACTCCACTGCGAAGACAGATGCAAACTCAATGTCAAAATGGCTACATGAGAGGGTACTTATGGCAGATTCCTAATCGGATCCGAACAAATTTATTGCTATTCTGAAGCGAAAAGGAACGTCTCGCTCATAACGAAGGATTGTCACAGGACCACTGACTGCTACTGACATCCGACAATGAACGCAGCACTTTTACAGAACAAATGTGTACAACAATGTAAAAAACAGTGCACTTATTCCTTCACATTTCTAGTAAATCGACTCTCATGACAGCTGCCTTCACGCCATTGCAACTATAAAAAAACTCGTTAAGATCACAGCCGAATAGCCGGTAGAGGAACAGAAGGAACGAACGGTAGGGGTAACCATGTCAACGCGAACCCACATGAAACTCGAGAACTCGGTCTTGAAAGGTAGGGAGTAGGATGCCTAAAGAAGCTGAAGAAATCGGCTGCACTGATGTAAATTATTCCTGCCCAAATCGACGTTTCTAAAAAGTGCAGCGATCCAAGTGGCACCAGCTCACGAGAGAAAATGTGTAAGCCAGCGAAGACAGCAGAGAAAATTATTGGTTTCTAACTATCCCGTCCCTTTGTCGAGGAATCGCCGAGTTGACCTGATATTCATCACAAGTCCAGCACTACCCAAGTACAACTCGACTTCGCCAGTGGATTCGGGAGCCTAAATGGCAATACTAGTAACTGGTTCTCGCGGCTCTTACTTAAAGGTACTCATTCGACACATCGATGAGTAGAACTAGCGGCGATGACGACCTAGATCCACAACGACTTGGTGAAACTAAATCCAACACATGCCAATTTTTCATCGAGATTGATTCCTCGTCGTGTAATTGAGTTTGCGAACTGACTTTGTCATAAGAGGTCCACTAACGACCCATCTGTCCCCTACAGAAATTGAAGTACCTTGGAAGATATCAAAGTTCAGAGCTAATCTGGCAAAACAGCTACCGAATACTTCAATAAGGACGCTTCTGTTTGTATAATTACACTGGCTCGAAACTGAGATGGTCTCCCCACACGCAAATGACGGTGAGGTTGAGCATATACGAAGGTCACAAACAAGCAGTCCTCAAGTGATACTGCCGTCCACTATCATACTAAAAAATCAATCTCACAAACCAAAAGGTTGATCAAATGGAACTTCAAGACTAGGGCAAGTATCGACTGCCCAACCAGGCCAACGATGGTGTACTGTACTACTTACTCCTCACTTCTCCATGAGAAGCAAAAGTCTTGTGTAGGCAAAGAGCTTGCAATTCATCATTGGGCGCTTCTTCACCCAACCGGGGCTGCACATGGGGAGGACCCACCCTAAGGCTGTAACGTCCAAGCGTTGGTTTTCTTGAGGGAGCATCCAGAAAATCATCAGTCATGACCGCGGCAGAGCGACGATCCTACTGATTGGTCACGCCATAATCTAAACCTGCGAGGCGCAAATGAGGACTCATGTCCAAAACTCTACCACCTCTGCGGTAGCCCTCAGAAGTGGAGCCCTCTCAGGCACAGTTGCAACCACCATCATGTACTCCACAGATGAACAAAATAATGCCGACCTGCGCAGTCCATCTAACAGAAAAAGTTTACATCGACTCCATGGCGATACCATCATCACATGGCGCACTCTGACAACATTGCCAGCATGGTAGGGCAGCCTTCTATCCATGACAATGGCACTGCAACAACAAACTCTCTCTCTCGATCACCCAAGATTCAATCCTCCTCTACAACTACGACGACTGCCACTATTACCACCTCCATAATCAGCACCGCTTCGTCAACTCGCGCCTTCACAAAATCTTACTTGCGGATGATGCCGATTACATCAACCGGCACGTCTGTGTCACTGCTTCTTCTTCTCCTTCTCTCTTTTGCTCCCTCTCCTCTTAGATTATTTGTTGCTGCAACAACAAGCTTATCACACTCAGGCCAGACGCCAAGAGCTTTACCAGCTGCAGCTTTTGGCTCAAACCGATCCTAAGGCCTTTTTACAGCAACTCACGTACGCGCCGGCTGCAGGGACAGTCATGGGCACTGCTCTCAAACACCTGCAGCAGCGAAGAGTACAGTTCCTTCCAGCACAAGAGAAACTCATTCGCTCAAGACATCAATCCAACCATTGGCACCGCCGCACGCATCCAACGAAGAGGATCGTGAGCACAAAACGGCACGCGGCGCCGGAGTTGCTAATTCCGAGCGAGGAGCAGAGTGCTGCTGCAGGGATGGGCTTGGATCCATCCACGATGCGTGCCTCTACTCAAACGCAAACGTAAAAGAGGCAATGGCGGCGGCATCTATGGTGTGTGTGTGTGTGTGAGAGAGAGAGAGAGAGAGAGCCTTCTCTTCTCATTTTGGGATTTTGTTTCATTTTGTTGTTGTTGCTTGGCTTTGAGGTCCCTTGTTGGAGGGACATGATGGAGGGAGGGCATCCACCTCAGATATAGTGTCGCTTCCTTCTATTCTATTCGACTTCGATCTCTGATGGCCGAGAAAGAAAGGTGGTAACAACGATCATAGCCGCCTTTACCAGACAGACAAACAGCCACACAAGACATTGTTGATTACACTGCTTCTAATGCAGACTAGCTTTTCTTACTTGGCATAATTCTTTTGTAGATCCCCCGGGCGTGGAGCAAGCAAGCTTCCATGCCTGTGAGAAGGTCTCTCTCTAATTAGCATATCATTTAATCTCTGGTTTGTTGAAAAGGATTCGTCAAGATGGCAGCACAGCTACTCCAGCTCTTTCAACACTCGACGGCACCCTGGCTGCCAACATTCTTCAATCGCCATCTTTCTCCAGAACCCACGGTCTGATGGCAAACGATGTCGTACCGTTGTCTCTTGAGAAGAAATAGCAAAATTGTGATACATTACCTCTCTGTCTATGTATATATATATATATATATATATATCGTTTTGCAATAATCATGATACAAAAAGGCATTGGTTGAAAAAATAAGAGGTAATCAAAAGTATATTTTCGACTGTAAAAATCTACAATTAGTCATTTAAAACTATAGTATATATGAAAGGGACGGACTTATTTTAATAAATAATGAAATTTCATTATGCCTTAAATCTTATGATTTTAAAATGATACAAATTTAAAATTACATGCTAAATTTTGGCAATAGACTAAAATAAAGGAGCTTAGTGAATTTTATTATAAAGTTGAGAATTTCACATATAAAATTTGTACTTCAATTCAAACTTCCTAAATTTGATAGTTCATTATATTAAAAACAAAAATAAATAAATAAAACACAAAAAAATAAAACAAAATTTTATTAATAAATAAATGAACCAAACATCAACAAAAAGAGTTTTTTAAAAAATAATATTTAATACTTGATTAACATAGTCTTCTACTTTTTTTTTAATACATTTTTGTTACAGATTTTTTTTTTTTTTTTTTTCAACTTGATTTTATTTATGAATTTTCTGAAGTCGAATTAGTTAATCAGGTTTTGTTTTAAGATAAGTAAATCATTAAAAATTTAACAATGAGAATCTTATGATATTTTATTTCATAGAGATCATGACAAGAAATAGATATCTGTTTCTAGAACCTACAAGAATTTATTTTGATCTTAATGAAACTGTAGAAACTAACATCTTGTATAACAATATCAACCGTGACCTGAAAACAATTAATGATGCTCAATCTGCCTTATATTAGTAAATTCCACGAATTTAGAGTTGATGAGTATGTTCAATTTGATTTGATAAAAGCAAAGCAAAAGGCTATTTATGTGGAGTAAAGATTATACTCTCACATAAACATTGAATAATACAGCCTTTCGGCTTTTGCAAGTTGTGATTTTCACGTCTGAAGTTTTTATCTTTGAAAGATGCATAGATGAATGTAGAGAAATGTATAGCAAAACCAACATTTGATTTTTAAAAAAAAGATAAGTAAAAAGACCTTTCTACAGCACCCGATTAAATGATACATGCAGTAGCTTTTTGAATTAAAATTTTTCCTTGCCACAATTACCAATTCATTGACAAAATAAAACGTGACGATATTTGAAAGCACACCAAACCAATTTATTGTGTGTAATAGTACAAGCCAAGTAAAGACCCCACCAAATGATTAAAAGAAAAGAAAAGAAACGAGAGAGAAAAAAAGAAAAAAAGGAATAAAACAAGAAGAAGAAGAAGATAGATAGATGATCTATTTTTACCCTTTTTTTTTATAAAAAAAGCCGAAAAAAGACTCTTCTTGTTCTGGAACTTGATCTTAGCCAAAAGTACTTGTGCTTACGACAAAAGATTTTCAATTGTGTCTCTATGTGTGTATGTTTGTTTGTTTTTTTGTTTTTTTGTTTTTTTTTTTCCATACATGAAACAGAGCAACCAACTTCATTCTTAAATTATACAGAAAACCAGCAGAAAATAAATAACGAAAGAAAGAAATAAAGAAAAGGGGTGTTAAAGGAAAACAAGCTCAAACACATTCAAATGGGACATGAATGGCCCCCTCCCCATCCCCTTGACTTTAGAACGCTCTTCCTTTTGTAGTAGTAATAGTACTTAGAAACTAACTAACTAATTAAATAATTAAATTAATAAATGTTGATGATGTATATTTATATGTATGTATGGCCCTGGCTTCTACACCTAGTAACCATTTCAGTCCTTCTCTTGTTTTTTCTTTGATGTCATGTATGCTTGCTTTGAATAGGATTTGTGTTTCGTAGTTGCAGGTTAGGATAATTTGGATTTTGGTTTTTTTGTAATTGGCTTTGATGTTAGTGTTGACAGCACATTGCAACTGTGGGTGGATTGCTTTAGTAAAAGACTAGGTCTATTTAACATTCTCTTGTTTTTATTATTAAAAATAAGTTTATCATCAAAATCTAGAATGTTCAACTAACTCTTTAAGCTCAAATTGAATACAAGTTTAAACAACAATAAAAAATGAATTCATGTTCCCTTAAAATTTGGGTATGGAGGAACAAAAATTGCAATAAAATATATTGATCTTTTTCTATGATAAATTTCTATAATTTTAGTACTAATTTTATTTTAGTTTAAATATTTAAATCTGGACACAAACTTCGCAATGTATAAAAAAATTAAAATATAAAAATAAATAAATAAATTTTATATTATATAATTCAAATTGTAACAAAATTTCCATTCGACACTTAATAAAATGTAATTCTAAATGATTGGCATGAGGTAATCATTACATCTTCTATTAGTAATTTTGTCTATCTCAAAATGTTCTTTTACACATGTAATTAAATTTTTTTTGTTTTGGCACATGTATCATTTACATTTTTCAAGATGACATAAAAAGTTCAAGTGGTCTACACACAATTTTAAGTTTAAAAAATTGTACACAAAGAGTGCAAGGTGCAGACTTTCTGTGGATAATTGCATACAAAGATCAATGCAGTTTTCTATACCAAGGTAGTACATCACAAGTTTGCAAAACATGACATGACAGGATGCTACCAACTCATTTTGGACCTACTCTGCCCAAGAATTCTAGTGAAAAAATAGAGCATGACAGCAAATGTGCGCTTGAAGCACATGATGGCAGGCTACAGATCACATGGGCAGTATCGGACTGATACCACTGGTAGTTCCAAAGCAAGTGAAAGTGTCAGACCAAAAGTGCAAGTCCCAGGATCCAGACAGACAGGTTTGGGTAACGATCTGCTCAATTCTGCAGGTTCACTGCAAACAGATAATCCCAAGATTACGTGAAACAAGCTTACATGTTTCGACGTCATCACTGCACATCTTGCAACGCCATGGGCTATCTACCCATGATCGTGCCCTACTGGCTCCTATTCCATGACAACCCAGATAGTAAACCAAAACCTTGATAAGTCCAAGAGCATGCAAAAGTTTTTATTAAAGCAAATGTGAGCCTGTTTTGATTTGAGGCGCATGCAATTAAAAACTCTGGGCATGCAGCTTATTGAAGCCCCCCTGGTCTGGGGCTACAATGCCCATCTGCTGTTCTACAAACAAGAAACTGTATGGTACAAATAGTTCTACAAATACAACACTGATCCAGCAGACATGATAAGCTAGTAAAGTGCAGTAAGAACAAAGATTGCGATCAGTGTTGCCTGCATCCCAGACTCTCCATAGATTGATCTCACTTGGTTCAAAGCAGTCGCGACGCCATGCTTCTCGAGGATATGCTTGACACAGCAGGGTCTGGCTTCGGAAGCAAATACATCCTATGTTCACGCATCGCAGGGCAGGTCCCTACCATCTTGATTGTCATGTCGATTACATCCTGCTCTATGATCTGATGGACAATAGAAGAAGTTCCTCAAGGGGTCTTCTGAAAATGACTAGCATGAGATGATAACATTGAGAATTTGAGGCTGTTGAAATAATGCTTTGATGGTGCAAGATCCAGCTCCATGCTATGGCCAACCCCATCGAAGAAATTTTGGATCAACACTGGGGGAATGATTGAAAGCAACGAAGTCGATAATTGCGTTGCTTAAATCATGGAGTGGCGCCGTGGCAGCCTTGCAGAGGGCTTGCTCTGAGGGGGCGTTATGGAACCCAGTGTTTCAGAGTCCTTTGTCGAGCCGGAGTTGGACACCTTCTTGCTTATCAGTTTCTGGAAGAATTTCTTAGCCTTACCGAACTTCGTGTCGGTTGGTTTCGAAGGTTGTAGGGGACTGGTGACAGTTGGTGAAGCGTGCTTCCTCTCTGCTTCTGCAACTCGATTCTTGAGATCGGCCAAGTCATCCTTCAAGGTAGAGAAGTCATGGTGCAGCGCGAAGCGGCCTTGGCCGGCAAACGGGATGGACGGGACGTTGTGGTCAGTATGCACATCAGAAACGCTGATGTCATCGCTGGATTCTTGACCCATGAGTGCACGAATGCTGCCTGGCATCTCATTGAGGATGAATCCTCCGGTTGCTGCTGTCCGGACTTGCTCAAAAAATAGCACCTGCAAGCAGCAGACAGGAGGACTTGGATGAAAAATGAGGAAAAAATATTCAGAACAGTCGCATGTACATTGAGGAATACGCTCGACAAGAATGGACATGTTCGGAGTTCGTAGCTTGAGGAAAATGATTTGTGACAGACCAATTATCTTATATCACTAGAAGCATCGTATGAAGAGCAGGATTCCTTTACCTGAACAACAGTGCGGAGGGGCAAGCGCTCGTTTTGTGCAGCGTGCATGCACGCATCCATTGACAACTTTCTGCAGTCCATCAATCTGCAGATCTTTTTCTTTTCCCCCTTCGATAGGTTTGGATGCTCCTGCCAAATTAAGCAAGTTCAGAGCTACGCTAAAAATAGTCCTACTTTGAAAATGTGAGGATTTACAACAGCTCCGGCAACTTCGAATATTCATCAATCGCAAGAAAATATATCGTGCTTTACCGAGTGAATTGTTACCCCATAACTTGTAAACTGACCTTTAAATACATATCAATCGCGCGATACAACCCATCGTGGAAGGGGCGGGTAAAATCAGGAATAGACTCTGCAAGTTGTATGAATTTGGCGAGAGTGAGGTTCGGATCTCGTGCAACTTCAGCCAAATAGCCGTCTATAAGCTTAGCTACTTTAAGCTTAGAACCATGGATTGCAGCTGTAGAGTGCTGGCTGTCTGAAAGATCATTAATCTCCGCAGGTCGTGTTCTTCGCCTCTCGCAAGGATTAGCCATCACTCCCTCATGTGGGCTAAGTGGAGGACTCTGATTGTGCAGAAGATAGTGTTCCACCATTTGAATCACCACGTCAACGTCATAAAGTGATTCATTCGCGAAGGGGAGAGAAGGTATTAACAAATCACGAAGTGAAGCTTCCTCAAGTAGCAACCCAATTCGTCCAGCCAACTCTGCTTTCGAAGATGGTGAAGCGTTCAAAACGGTAGCCGCCTTGAGCAACTTCAGCAAGAAACTGCAAGGGCAAGAGCTTTTCTCGTCTGGAAGCAGGCTGACAATGGTCTCCAGCATTCGCCTATGTGTGGATGTCTCCTGCGCGTAGTTCATAGCTAACCTCATCCCTCGAGTGCTATCCACCATGCCATGCTCCTCAGTTACTCCTGGTAACCATCGCTGCGTGTACAACCTGAGAGCCTCTCCCACAAGCTCGCTAGCCGCACCTTTCGCTTTCACTGCCCCCATGACTCTCCAGAACAAATCAACTTCTAAGTCACAAACATCCTCCAACCACCAATCCTTCGGTATTGGGGACAACCATGGACACCCCTGGACGCCATTCCAAACGGCTGGAGTCGCTGGTTGGCTCACTGAAACATGCTCCAGTGATACAGACGCCCTTGAGTATGAGAATGACCAGTCCACTTCGACAGGATCGATGACCACCTTCGAGGAGATTGATTCGACGCATCGACTAATTATCTGGTGACAACCAAAAACAATCATAAGAATACAACTAGATCGAAAATTCGTTTATGTACTTCGAAAATTGATTCAACGAGGTCTAGTAATAACACCCATTCACGATGGAGTTCAATTGAGTGTATATGTACATTTATAAAACAAATACCTTAAGCTGCAGCATCTAGTTAAGGAATTGTAGCTCCTACGAAAGTTGTACTGCTAGACGCCTAGAAAAAAGCGCCCCAATGCTGTAATTAGTGACGATAACAATTATTCAAGACATATTTAAGCGTGAGATGAAGGCAGTAGTAATATGTAAAGGAAAATTCTTTGATTAAGCTCGGTTATCGAGAACGCAACTGGGAGAGGACGGAACACTGGCTTGTAAGTTTGCAACTTACTTTCAAATCTTCGGACCATGGCTGATAATCTCTACAGCTTTGAAGGCAGATGATTGAATCCTTCCAACCTCGTACTATAGAAGTATTCAAAAAAAATTCGAGCTTGTAGATGAGGTTGCTCTTTTCTACAGTCTCCGTCATTTTCAGGAACTCTGCACCGCATCGGACTTCGCCTACATTGTGTGCATTTATGGTTACCGTGACACCATAGCAGAATTTCGCACAAATTTCAAAACATTCCGCGCTTCCAGGGAAGTCCTCAATCTTCAGCTCATCTTCGCCCGCTTCAACTGCTGCCGTGACAAGCTTTGTCAGAGCTCCACACTTCGCTAGAAGTGGAAACTGCAAAGCAAAAAACATCCGGAGCTGACACACGTGAGCACAGATACTGGTAACCAGCAAAGCCATGCGTGCTCACTCCGCTGCAACTAACAGTAGCATCCGTGTTTTGTGATATTCGACACTATCTTCCTTGAGCACTGTTCCCAGATTCTAACGAGCAAATGATTAGAGTCACCAAGAAAGAGGAGTCAAAATGGCAAGATATATCTTAAAACAACATCCTTTAAAGCACATGTGCACACTTCTGTCGGGTAAAAACAAAATTCTAGTAACAGGATGCAAATTATGATCGACTTGCACAGTTGTGCATACCAAGTGAAGATGGAATTTGTGTCCATCCACATCCAAAACAATGTCACTCACGAGATCCCATTTCACCGAACTGCATAGCGACAAGAAAGCTTCTCGATTAGAAACAAAACATGGCCTAGCACAGGTTATAGAAGTGCATTCTGCACCACACTTCCAAATGCTTGCATCTTATCATATCGCTTAATGAACAAAAGGGAAAAAGTACACTTGTGCTAGAGGTCCAAAACCCAGCCACCCGACAAAAAAATTAAAATAAATAAGCTGGAAGTCCATTGAAACTGTATCTAATACATCAAGGACAACGACATTTTGATGTTTGTTATTAGGTCATAACTTAAAACTGCGACTCCAAAAAATTAATAGCGTCTAGAAGCAAGTGCACAGCAGCCTAATCTAGAATTGAAACCAACTTCAGTATTTGCGTCAATCTGATTAAGGATGTCGACACTGGCAAATACAAGAGCTCTCTTCAGAACATCTGCAGTTAATGAAAAACAGATTACATTGATAATAACAATGAAAAAAACAACAATTATACCAACAATGATGATGACTGTAACAACAATACACCCTAGAGTTGAGACTTACGTGATGTTTCCGCGGGTTGAAAAGCAATCAGGCCTTGATCCCAACTTAATGAACTTCATTGTATCAATATCTGGTGTCACTCTAACACCCTCTGATTGGTAGCTTTGGGTGGTACTGCAATCCCTCAGATACTGTTCAAAACTTTGGAAACAGTGCTCACCACAGTGCTGACCCCTGCTTTGATGTACTACCCTCACCATCTACTCAAGACCCTCCCTGCTGTGCTGAGGAAGACATCCTTCTTTCACAGAGACAATCTTAAAGGAGAAATCACCGCCACCCTTAACAATTTTTGCCGAAGAAGTTCGCAACACATCACCGTAAGTACAGAAAACAAGTTTGTCTTCCTAGAAGAGATTCTGACGGCTGTGAGAGGAAGCACTGGAAATCAATAAGAACCAAGCGCTCATTCTGTACACTTCAAGACTGCGTCACGGTGGCGCGTCAAATTCCCTGACGTATTCCCACTCCTCAAACAAGCATATTTTCTTCCAAGTTTGCCGCCCATCTTTTCATAACCAGACCATTCGTCTCAACCTTCTTGAACTTGCAATTGCTGATATCGCAGAGTCCGGACGAAGAGCCCCATAATTGAATTGACACTCCCAGCGAATTCTCATCTCCAAAACTGGGATCCACATCCCCGAGGCTTGGTCACGTACTCATCACTATCTATTACTTACAGGGGACGCACGTTGGTGCTACACTAAGGAGTAGCTGCAAATTAGTCAACGAGTTCACCACCCAAGACTCACAATGTAACCAACTTTGCACTGCAAGGACGGACCTCCGCAAATTGCTGGCGTGAACTACAACAAAAGAATTGATTGGTCACGCCAGCGACCTATCCATCTGTAAGACAGGGACACGGCTACGACTGAACAGGGGATTCACGTAACTAAAATATTGTGGATTGCACTGTAGATAAGATACTGAAAGAGCAGGAGAAACTGGCAGACACGGAAATTATAAATGAACCCAGGCTATGCCCTTCAAGACAGTCTACGCAGGAGAAGGGGATACGAAAACAGTGACAGGTTTACCAAGCGGGTAAACTAGGTAAGTCACTCCATGGATGACATCATTGAGGCTGACATGCAAGCAACAACACAGGCACCAGAGGACGTGGTATGTGACGAAGAAGAGCGTACAGGGTGAGACTGTAGATCATGCAGAACTAGAAGCGCCAGAGCTGCTGTACGCATTACCGACCAAGAGGAAACCCATGAAGGTTGTGTTGCGGTGGCAGGCCAGAGCTCAACGAAAAGCTACGCAAGCAGTAACAAGGAATGGAGCCAGAAGTCGTCAGGAACGAGCAGGCTCGGCCAAAGAAAAGCTGACATATGCCCCGAACTGTACCCGCAGACCAACCTCCACCCTGTACACTCCCAGTTTTTAAAAACTTTCTTCCACCGGCCAAGGTTGCTTATTCCCTACTGGTTTCGTAACCTCACAGTTCCTCCCAAGGATGAAAATAAAAATAAAATGAGCACAACATTCACTTGGTTTGATGGAGCCGATAATCTTCGGCTTGTCAAAAGATGACTTGTGGATGATAAGCAACTCTCAAAAGAATCGGAGAAGTCACATGCCCCGAGAACCGACCACACTCTGGACACCCGATGCCCAAGAACCTCGATGACCACCCTAGTTTGCAAGGATTACCTCCGCTAGTGATTATCTCCTTGTCTCGTTCCCAATATGCAAGCATTCTCGCGGAAATCCCCTCTTCCTTCGCCAGCAAGTTTTCAGTGATAACTTGCAACCTGAAAGCTCCAATCCCAAAGCAGCCAAAGTGCAGCGCTCACAGAAGCAGCACTTCAACGTTCCTCCTGACGTCTTCCCTCCCCGTCCCCGACATGACCTAATTCCTCTTTTCCTTCTCACCACTGCTACGAAGGAAGTTCGATTGATGCGAAATTGGCCGGATGTGGGATCGTGCTGTCAGCTGGGAAGAGGAGCATGTAAGCCCTGGAACAGCACAAGAATTGCGCGGGTGAGGGCGTAAGGTTCTACAAACTCCGGGTTAAGTAACGGCGAGGACTGTGGTGGGGACGACGATGGCGGTGCAGCCAGCCAGCGGGAGACGATGACGACGACGACGCTCCACACCGCGACCAGGAGGAGGAGCAGTAGGACAGAAGGAGGGAGGAGCTCAGAATATGGTGGCGAAATCACCTCTGCAAGTAGAGCAAGCATGGGAAAATCCATCCATCCATTTATCCGTCAATTCATCCATGAATTCATCCGCTCATTCATCCATCCATCCATAGTATTTCATATAATGCGATAGATGAACGAGATCCAGAAAAGTGATGAATGAAGCTCGTCTTGCCAGCGCAGGCCTGGATAAGTAAGAGATGAAACGGACTGAAACGGAGACAAGTAGTGAGTGACTGTAATTGCACCAGGGACGGAGACTGGCTTGCGGGGGGTGGGGGGGGGGTCCGACCTACGGGACGAAGCCACGCAGGCACGGGAGAGTTGGGCGGGAACTCTGACTGGACTAATACATATAGATAGATAGGCATTGCACACTCCCCTTCCCCCCCTTCTTCATCCATACATTCCTCCACTCTTGTCTTCATCCTATCCTGTTTTCATTTGTCTATCCCTCACTTCTAGGGGAGTCCCTCTCGCGCCCTTACCCTCGATGGAGGGAGACATCCTCAGTCTATGTCTCTGATATCTGCATTTTACATGGAATCATGCAAACCATTCTTCGAATCCTTTCTTGGACCTCTCGTGCATTAAAAACTGTAACTTCTACATGGATGGATGGGTGGATGGATGAATAAATGAATGAATGAATTTATGGATGAATGGGTGGATGTATGGGGTGGATGGATGGATGGATGAATGTGTGGATGTATGAATGGGTGGATGGATGAATGAATGAATGGGTGGATGGTTGGATGAATGGATGAATGGATGGATGAGTGGGTGGATGCGTGGATCAATCGATACTTTACATGAATGTGTCCATGAAATCTAAGAGGGCATCATGTTCAATGTGACCCTTGGAACTTTTCTTTGACAAAGTAAAGTAAATTTTGTACAAACATCTTTCAAGTAAAGTTAGATTTGATCCTATTTTGTAATTTGAGTGTGATTTTTTTTTTATTATTTTTTCCATACTTTTAAGGACATTCCAAACTAAAATGACATTATAATAAAATCTAATGTGATATATATGTATAGATAGATAGATAGATAAAAGTACCATTTATTCTTTTATTGTTGTGAATTATGAGTTTACCTCAATATCCTTGTGTTTTTCTCTTAGATTAGATATAAGCTTGTAGAATTTGAATTAGATTGCAATATACCAATTAATCTAATAATTACAAAGGTGCAAAATATGAGAAGGAATAGATTGTTAAGAGTAACAATATGGTGTTGCACTATTTTAAATTATTACAAACCTTAGTTTTATGTTTGTTATTCAAGCTTTATAGATATATTGGAAGACATGATTTTTTTATATTATTACTATAAGACATTACAAGACAAAATTAAGAGAATTTTTTTATTTTTAATAATATATATGTATATATATATATATATATATATATATACTATACAATAAGTAAACATTTGACTAAAACCATAGCTACTCTTTCTAAATATTATTTTATAAATTTATTAATTATATATAGTTAATTTAATTAGTAAATAATTAAAAATACATATTTTAGAGATTTCAATAAAGTTACTTTGCTTATAGTAAAGGCATGTATCATAATAGTTTTGTTTTTTAGGCAACTAGATTGTAGTAAATACAAACAAAACAAGAAATCAATTAATTAGTTGTTGCTTATGGATGCTAAAATTTGATGTAAGAAGTAGAAGTTGTATTTGATGTAGTAAACATGGGAGCAATTTATTAGTCAATATGTAATAAAAAATATTTTTTATTTAGCACAATTTCTCTAAATGTTTCTAAATGGAATAGACCAACAATAATAAAAAATATTTTTTATTTAGCACAATTTCTCTAAATGTTTCTAAATGGAATAGACCAACAATAGCTACAAACAAAATTTGTTTAAGTAAAGTAATTGCAACTATAAATTTAAACAATATGTAAATTTTGTATGCATATATTGACTCATAGATTGGCTGCAAATAAACTTAGGTATATTTAGCATCAATAACTATATATGTTTATTTTGTTGTAAACTAAAAATATACTATAAATGTATAATATTTAATGTTTAAAAAGTGACTATTATAAATAGTTGTCATCAAATATATGATTTATGTTAAACAAAAAATAACATTAAGTTAGATATCAATAAATAGAACCATTTAATAAAACATTTTAAAATATTAGTATCACTTAATGTATGTAGATAAAAAAATGTTTAACATGATCTATAAGACAAATCTAATATTTAATTGAGTTTTATATAAAATGAAATAATTTAGACTTTAGAAGAACTAAATGTTGGTATATTATAATGTTTGATTTATTTTTTAATTAAAATCCAATTAAAATATGAAAAATGAATGCAAGAAAAATTTAAAAATTTAAAAATTGTATAAAAGATGCTAAAAAAACAGATTGTTTGGCATAATTTTAATTTAGAATAATTTATTTTTTAAAATATCGAGGAAAAATAAAAGAAATTAAGTAAATTAAAAATTATTCCATATACAGTTTAATTAAAAATATTGTAAACAGATTTAATATTCAAAGGTAATAATAAATCAATATTTTTTTATTATTTATATGAATAAAAAATATGAGAATATATTACTTTGGTGATTGTAATTATGACAAAGAAAATGTTTAAGACATTACTTGCTAGAATATTGTTTGAACTATGTATATTCTGATAAAATATTGTTTAATTGGCATGATTAAAGTCATTGTATTGCATTTATTGCAAATTTAAGAATTTTATTATTTAGTATTCATACTTCTAAAAAAATTAAATAAAATCTTTTACTTTGATTTCTTAATTGATCAATTTTTTTAAAATTGGAATTATTTCTAGTATTAGTTGTATTAAAATGTAAAAAATAATAGAATTATTATTTACGAGAGTAGAAATATAGCAATAGTACTAAAAATAATATAATTTAAGTTACTTTAGATTTATACAATGATTCTAATATGTTAACACATGTTTTTTGGTCTATTCTGAATTTTAAAAATCTATAAGATATTTTCTTAAAAGTAATTAAATTACATATATACAACAATTTAATTTTTTAATTGTAAAAAATATATATATATATATATATATATATATATATTATAAATTCCTTGTTATAAAAAAATTTAATGATTTATTTATATGTGATATGTGATGAAGGAGATATTATACATTATTAGAGCATTATAAAATCTAAATAAAAATCTCATTTATTTGTAATGAATATATATATATATATATATATATATATATATATATATATAGATATATTAAAAGAAAAAATAATAAGTTTACATTTTTTTGTACACTTAAAGAAACATATTTTTATTTTTTCATTATTATCATTTCACAATTATCTTTATTTAAACAAAAATATGTATTTTTTATTTATTTATTTATTTTTTTTATCTTTTTCTAATTCTTAAAGATTTTTCTTGAGGCTCAAAATTAGAGTTTCATTCAGAAACCTAAGATGAGTATTTCGGATCATATTTTTAAATTTAGAATTTAAATCAATATTTAGAATTTTAGTTTAAAATTTGATTTTAGGATCAAGATCTAAAATTAAGATTTAAGATACCAAACAATTGCATGATAGATTTTAATTTCGTAAAAATTCAAAAAAAGATTCTCTAAAAAACATTTATAAACATACTAAGTCATTTGTTTTTTTTATTTTTTTATATTTTATCAAATATACAAACTTGCTTTTTATTGAGATATTTCAAGTATTTAATTTTCTTCTATAAATATACTTTTTGGTGTTATAATATATGGCAAGGTTTACTCTTACCTTTGTAATGAAAAAAAGATAAAGATAAAGATAAAACATACACAAGTACATCTTTTGACATATCAAAAACCTTATAATTGGTATCTTTTACATGTTTCTTAAAATAAATTTAATTTGGTAGAATATTTAATTATGTTAAAAAAGTGGTGAAAATAAATAGATGAGGTGCCAAAAAACAGAGTCTTTATTGGGAATATATTTTTAGCTTTAATTATTTAAGTTATATGATAAAGAAGCTGAAATTTATTGTTAGGCCACCATAAAATCTAATCATTCAAAATCTCTCTCTCTCTCTTGATATATATATATATATTTATATATATATTCACACACATACATATATAGTTTAATTTTTTTATTTACTTAAAAAATATTTTTAAATTTTTGTTTCTAAAATTTATGGAATATCTTAATCTAAATACAAACATATTTGATTTTCTAATTTATTTCTTCAATAGTTATTTTTAAGACTCAAAATTCAAGGTTCAAGCAAAACCCTAAAATACATATTATTTTCAACATATATATTTACAATACAAATATTCTAGAATATTAAGGTCCTAATGTTTCAGCTTGTAATAAGCATCATGCAAAAGAGTTTTCTGTTTCTGTCTGTTTTTCTTGCTTTTTTCTTATATGTATATATATATATATATATATATATTTTGTTTACTTTTAAGTAACAATAATTATGATATCCTCACCTTGAATTTCTACACACTTTTCTTTTATCAATAACTGCATAAACAAACATTGATTAATCCCCTTTAGAAGGTAACTGAAGCAAACTGCAAACATTCATAATCACTCACCCACAGTTGTTTAACTCACACGCACAAAACCCACACTCCAGTTCGAAATTCCTAAACCGAGAGAAATAAAACCAAGTGAAACGAGGAACAGGGACCAGCAAAATCGCACTCAGACTCGCAATTCTGCACACTTTCCAAGACCCTTTCCCTCAATTTTTCGAATCATCTCACGCAAGTACAGACAGAATCAACAACACCCTTCCCACACCGCATTAAAGCAGAATGGCAAAAATAGTCAACCTCGGCACAAAAAAGTGGGAGTCTTGGTGATCTTGGAGGCGAAGATTGCAGGATGAGGGATCCTCCGAAGTCGAATTCACTTGCAGATATTCTCTCTCCACCGAGAACAATGGGCTGCCATGGCTTTTCAGGCTCCCCAAAAACGACGACGACGACGACGATGATGATGAACGAGTAGCGGTGGATAGTGCTGTTTCAGAGTCTCTAGTGTGACTGGGTTACGGAGATTTTTGCTGCAGCGTGAATTTTAGGGATGACTAAATTTAGGATCTGTGAAGGGCAGGATGCTTTTCGGTGTATGGTCAAGTGAGGGGATTGCATGCTTTGGGACATTCCCTCGTCCACGTTTCTCTCACTTCGGTGTTTCGATGCTCTTAACTGTGCGGGAGCGTTTCCCACATGAATCCCGCATGTTCAGCATTTCAACAAGTGGGTCACCCCGCCTTCCCTTTCGAATTGTATTAGCAATTACTCTTATTGATGCGGAAAAGTGCCCAACTGCTCCTACTCCAGGGTTGTCCGTGGGAGGCAGGTTCTGGTCCTCGTAGGCGCCAGGGTGTAACGTCAATGCCGCTGGACTACCAGTTTTCGGAAATCATGCAGCTAGGACCTGAGCCATGAAAGGATTTTCAAGGCAATCTGTGTCTCTCGGGGATCCGGAGTACGTTATCGGAGTATCTGCTGGCATAGATTCCGATTGGTCGTGTTGTCTTTTCGAGCAAAAAAAAGGGAGATAGGGAGAATTTGGGGCGTGGTGGCGACACAAGAATCCTGCAGATGAGAATGTGAACGGCAACCAAAAAATCAACAGCTGTTGCCCTGATGGTGCTTGCAGTCAGTACATTGCAGGATGCATGTTAACTTGGTCCTAAAATAATCCACGCACGGAACATTCATGAGGGTGAAGTACTGTGTGCACCTGAAAGTTGCACGAATACTATCGATAATGGAGTACTGATCGGCAGTGCTTCTGGGGTAAGCAAATCCGAGAACAAATTGCTTGTCGGTGGCTGTGGAACCCTTGTTCTATCATGTTCCGTAGACCATGTGCAACTTTTGACTTGCAGAGTATCTGTATTGAACAGAAACCCTGCAAATACCAGCCGGAGCAGATATCATCTTCCGCAACATGATGTAGCCAGCCTCAGTTGGTCATGCTTCAGCTTTGCAGGAGTTGAGGTATTGAGCCACTGTAAGAATACCTGCATACTCGTCGCTCCACACTTGCAAAAAATGGCATTGCCCTGCTATGTTCCTCCGACATCTGCGAAATACGTTTGACCCAAATGAAAGTTTGTCACTGCTAGTTTTTGGGAGGAATGGTTGCGGGCCAAGAGAATAGTGAGTGGCATTATGTCGCTTGACACTCTCGTGGTAACTCGATTATTATTGGGCAATTAGGGGCGTCTTACATGACTGATCTGAGTTACCGTATCCTACAACATGAGTTGAATTGCAGTCAACTCGTCTTTAGCAACTGGAAATACTCTCGAGAGCTCGTCTTTCTTCTGCTGTCCATCGCTTGCAGAGTTTGATACAAATTGTATGACTGAGATCGTACCCGTGCAGTGCGGCGTGAACCGAGGCAATTTCTAGTGAAAGCTGTTTCTCCTGCATCATCGCAAAGTGCAAACCTCACTGTTGAAATCCAGACTCGATTTAAGAGGCTTTGGCAGACGCCTTGAAGGGTTACCAGGGAGCCACGGACTCTTGCCATGAGTTGGTTCAAATATTTGTCGGCTTCTCCAATTTGCAATCTGACGATACCTAATGTGCAGGTACTCACAGATGGAAAATTTTCCCTAGTATCAGAATCTTCATCTAGTAGAAAAAACCTGTTCAACGCAAATTCAGATCCAGGTTGATAAGTGGCTGGGAAGGAAAAAACTACATAATCTGCAAATTGTGGGTCGTGAGCAAAGCTTTTAATTATGCAGGTGCCCTCAGAAAGCCAGATTGCAAAATCACTAACGGCCTGACGATCGGTAGGATATCGGTCAAGCTAATGAGAGCTTCCTTTTAAGTCAATGTCATGCGCCAATGCTATTTTGGTGAGAAAGGATCAAGGTCGTGGAGGTGGCCACAGGACATTGCTGAGGTCACGGTATTCTCCAAGCCATGCTCATATCTTGCATCAGAAGCTGAACGATACCTACGCACATGAACGATGTGCAGCAAGATCAATGTTGATTTAGGGCAAGGTTTGCTTAAAGTTCTGAAATTAAGAAATTAAAGAACCTCGCAGCTACAGTCCCCCTATCACCTCAACATCACAGGGTTGACGCCATAGACAGGACTCCTAAGACGAAGTTCGTGGCAAGAGTGATGATATATTTCATATGTGTTGAATTAATACATGATTTCAGACGACCTGATAAATTCAAGTCAATCTTTTACAAAAACTTCACTCTCACTGTATTTATAGACTATATAAATGTTGAAGTAAACTCACCAAGACCAACGTCTTGTTAGTTACCATTGTTACATCATCACTTGAACTATTGTAACTTGGCATAATCACAATAGTCTATAGATAAACAACTCAAATATTTTTGGATGAAATTGGCAATGTTGTATGATTCTTCAAGTCTTGTAATAACAATTATCAAAATGACAAACTAATCTTACATGTATTCAAGTGACACATTACTCAATAAAGAAAAGTATGTAATTGATCTCAACATGGTATCCAAGTAGAGTTAAAATCTCGACACTTACTAGTGAACATAGCTCTTAGAATAGTTTTTGTTTCTTGTAGTTTTGTTCTCATATCACCTAACTTATAATGACAAGAGAACAACTAACTATGGTCACAATTAGTGAAAGCACAAGTTAGAAGGTTTAGCAAACTACGATATATGGAAGCTAAAGTTGAAGGCATTACAAAAGAGAAAAAATCTGTAGAATCTAATAGAAAAGAAGATGGTATGAATTTAATTTTCAACCATAGTAGGAGCATTGACATCCATATTTGAACAATTGAAGATTTACAAGCTCAAGGTTTAGACATTGATTGTAATGGCCGTAAAAGATAAATTCATAGAAATTATTTCAAAGAATGATGATCCTTTAGATACATTGCAAGTCTGAAAGAACATATTTGAAGTTGATGATTCATTGCAAATCTTCTTGCTATCTACATGCCTTCACAATATAAGAATGGCAGAAGGTAATTTGATTGAAAAATACTTGCAAATTGCGTGAGATCTATAAAAAAATCTATCTATAATAGGACACAAAGTAGTAGATGAAATATTCATTCAACTTATGTTAAATAGATTTCTTTCAAGCTATGAGGGAATAATCTATAGCTTAATAATTTTAGATAAATTACTAAGCTTCGCATCTATTAGTTGAAAATTATTGAATGAGCAACACCATCTTTAGTTGCACAAAAATAGACTGGGAGAAGAAGATGTACTAGCAATACAATTGAAATACAATTACTTTAATTTCTATAGTTGCAATTGAGGAAGAACACAGAGTAATTGGCATTGAGATTAAAATAACTTATGTGACCATGGTATTCATCCAACATAAGGATAGTCTTACTTTGTTGGTCAAGGACTTCAACAAAGACAATTATGCAATGATCAATACACATGATTTCAATGTTTTGTATGTGGCTCACTTGATTACTCTGCTTGTCTTTGCTGCAACAAATATTTGATGCAAAAAAAAGATGACAATGTCAACAAAGTAACAAATAAAGATTTTTAACATATCAAGTACTATTTAAGATATCATCATTATACTTGTTGAGATTATACGAGGACTTGAGAAGAATCATCCATAGTATCTTGATTTTGGAGTAACTCATCACATTATAAGAAATAAGAAGTTTTTAGAATCAACAATGTTGAATCATCAACCAAAACAACAAGTTAACCATAATAGGACATTGTACTTGAAGGAATAGTTTATACAAAACCAATAACATCTTCTCAATACAAGATAACATCACAAATAATACTATACAAAGTATTGCAAGATCCAACATGTCAATTAATAATCCAAAGTAGATTAAATTAAGGCACTATAGATTTAGATACTTAAACTACAATAGCCTCAACTATCTATCACATTGTCATCAAGTTAAAAATAATATAATTTAATTCCATGAAAATAGTATGCATGTAATAAGCTATGGATAAGATATTTGTATTGTTGACACATAGGAATAGATAGTTGAAACCATGTTTGAGAAGTTATAGAAGTTTTTAAAATTAGAACTAAGTTAGTGGACTATGTAGGATCCATTGTAGAATATTCTAAAAAAATTTAGGATAGTTATTTAGGAAGGTCCACCATGGAACCTTCTAGAAAGAATTTAGAATAGTTATCTAAGTAAAGTCCATTATCTAAGAACATTCTAGAAAGTCCAAGGTGGTAGAATAAGATATAAATAGGACTAGCCAAGGCCTTTTGGGCAGTTGGTCAAGTATGGCTTTGGACCTTCTCTCTTAGTAAAGTTTGGTTTTACATCTTCTTATTCAGTTTTATTATGTTCTATTTTCATTTGTTCAGTTTTGTCTTTCGTGTCTTATTCTATTTAGTTCTCTTCAGTTTTGTACTAGTCCATTTTATCTTACTTTGTCATGAGGTTTTATGTTGCTAAGGATTAAAAGAATCTTAGACTCTTGGAATAGACTTGTCTTGTTTCATTAGTATCAAAGTGAGTGCTAGACTATTCTTTGGTAGTATATTGATAGCCATCATTTAGTTCAGGATTAATTATTGAGATCTTATTGGATATTGTATTGAAGCTACTATGAGCTACTCTTAAAAAGTCAATTGGAAGGTGATAAGATATTACAATAATAGAGTCTAATAAGGAAATTATAGCGTGAGAGATATGGTGGAGTAATCCTAGATCGAGGCTCAAATACAACACCTCATAGGCGAGAAACTACTTTGGAAGGGTAAATAAAAGCCTCTAAGATAAGGGAATCAATATCTGCTAGGCTCAAATTAAGTAAGCTTAATACATACTCTAGGACTTCAAGACAAGAAGATGTATGTCAATGGCTCTTCAACATGCAATAATACCTCCAACTATCTGGAGCAAATACCATTGAAGGAATTATGTATGGAGTCAGTTATTTGAAAGATATAGTAGTCATTTGGTGGTGACATCGAATTTAAAGCTATGGAGCTCAAGGTGGATTTTGTGATTGAAAAGAATTTGAGAGTGAGTTTAGGAATTAATTTTGGCCCATCAAAACAAAAAAATATAACATACAATCATTTAAAAAATCTTACATAATTTAAGTCGGTACAAGATTATATATCCTGATTTAAGTCTCTATGTCTCCAAATTGGCAATATTTCAAAGGTAGAGATATTGGATTGATTTCTACGAGGTTTGAAACCTAAGATTCAGTGAGAGGTAGAGCTAATAGATTCACAAATATTTAAAGAGGCAATTGGGATTGCAAATAATGTTGATGCTACAGAATTTAAAAATTATTGAGCAAGATTTATAGTATAAAGTCTTATGCTGCCATCTAATATTATGGTACAACAACCAAGACTAATGGAGATTGATGTCCTATAAAGATCATTGACACCACAAAGACGAAAAATATTGGTACAAAAGAGAATGTATTTCTATTGTCAAGAGCTAGACTATTAGATAAGAGGTTATTCAAAACATTAAAATTCAAGCACCAATAAAATAAGGCAGGTTCACAGTCTTGAGACTCACCAAGTCGATAATAAGATAAAACAGGGAAATAAAGCTCCATAGTAAAGGCACCAAGAGCCAATACTAGAGGTAGCTATTGTCTCTAAAAAAAAAAAGGCATGGCCTTGGACAACAATAAAAAGAGTCAACTAGTGCATTTAATGGAACTACTAAGAGGACAACCATATTGAGTGCTTGTAGATTATGGCTCTAAAAAATTAAATCTTAATTAAAATTTTTAATCAATTTGGAATTAAACTAAGACAATGAAGAGAAGGAGTATATACCTTGTAGATAACTAAGAGAATATATTGAATGAGCCATATAAAGAAGAAACCTTCAAGTTATTTGACACCTATGTCTTCATAGAGATGTTCAAGATTATAAAGCTAAGATATGATGTTATCCTTGGTATGCCATGGCTAAAGGTAGAAAATAATTAAGTTGATTGAGTAGGAATGATAATCTTGTTCAAAGATAGTAGATCCAAGGTGACTTTTTGTACCTTTGCATTGAGTGAAGAGAAAAAATAATCTATCACTAAAGATTTACTTATAGGAATGATCTTTATCAAGAAGCAAATACAACATAAGCATTTGATACATATGGTGGTTCCAAATCTTCTATTAGTAGTAGGAAAGATAGTCAAAGGAGCAGAATAAGGAGAACAACTCATACGAGAATATTAGAATGTCTTTCCAATTGACCTATCTAGTAGTGTGCCTCTAGATTGAAGTACCCATTTTCAAATAGAACTATTGGTTGGAACCAAATAAGTAAGTTGATCAATTTATTCCCTAGCACCAAATAAACTTGAAA